ATACTGGTCTTTATCGTGGGGCTGTAAAACATGGGCACAGATATCAGATAAAGCAAGAATTCAAGTGGAAGGGAAGTAATGTGGGTTCGGTGAAGTAGTAGTGAAAAGTCATTTTCTTAAATGACTTCTCTTGATCAATTACACAGTATCGCTAATCAAGTTCTGATAGGTGCTGTGCCCTGCCTCCCCCTTTCCCCAACATCTCGGACTCTCCAGGCTGGAGATGAGAATGATGGTGATTCCTGGCACACACACCTTGTACTCCTTATAAGCAGGCCTTCATGGGTAGTATTATACTCTACATTTTCTAAATGAGGTAACAGGTGCAGAGAGATAGAGGAACTCACTTGTGACCACACAGCCTGTTCGAGGCAAAGCCAGGATTTAAATTCCATCAGTCTGGACTTAGAGCCCGTGTGACTCTACACTAAATACCGTCTTGCCTGTGACAGGAGAAGCAGGCAGACATGCTGCCCTCCGCTTCCCATCATTTTGCTGGCTCTAGCTTCATGAAGGAAATATGATCTCATTCCTTTGCTACCAAATCTAGGCAAGTGCAATGGGGTGGAGTCTGAGCAGCTCCAGTTCTTTGTGCTCTGTTGAATGCAAGGAATTCTGATGCCAGATAGGACTGGGGTCTAGCTCTGTGAGGGGAAATAAAATCTGCACCAAAATGTCAAAGGAAGCAATTAAGCCAAAGGTTTCCAAGCCTGAGGACAGGCACAGGTACACAGGATAACCTGAGAATGTAACTAAGGGGGGAAAGTTATAAGAAAATTGAAAGAGTATTTCTGTTTAGTATTAAAGTTAGATTCTGGTAACAGAGAGTAAGAATGAGATGTCATCTTTGTCTAATCATGCAAAGTGCATTTAACATGGTAACTAGCTAACTCACTAATAAATCTTCATTTTCACACTTGGAATGATTTCTTTTATAAAAATCCATGTTAGTTTCCATTTAAACGGATATTGCTCTGACATGTATTCAATGTGTGTATAAGAAAAGTAGAAGGTTACATTAAGTAATTATTGTTCCCTTTATATTTTGAGAGATTCCATTATAAAGAATTCCTCAGGGAATCTGCCTGCTCAGGGGGATCTTTATCAAAGTCGGTTCTGTTGAGGCATTTCATGTTAGCATCTGTGAACACGTGACCTGCCACCTGAACTATGGCACTTCCCAGGAAGCTTCTCTGGGCTTCCATTCAGTTTCAGTCCTCGTTGCTGCTTCTGCTTCCTCACAATGACCCTTCTCATTTCCTTACCCCACCTCTTCCACTTTCTCTTCTAATGCCTTGTCCATTAATCAATTAAAATTCCTTTCTCAACTGGCACTGGTTCTGCCTGCTTCTCTTAACAAACATCTCCTTGCTGACTTTGCTACACTATGTGTATGGGTGTGTGTGCGCGCACGCACGAATGCGCATGCATCCATATAACTTTTATATGTACCATGTGTGTTTAGGAGCCTGTAGAGACCAGTAGAGGGCTCCAAACTCCTGGACCTGGAGTTGTGCTGTGGTGAGTCACTATGTAGGTACTGAGAACTGAACAAGGAACCTCTGTAAGAGCAGAAAGAACTATTAACCACTGAGACATCTTTCTAGCCCCTGATGTGAGTTTTAATCCTACTGAATTCTCTGTAAATTTTTAAATAATTTATTTTAAATTTATTTTATGTGCATTGGTGGGAAGGTGTCAGGTCCCCTGGAACTGGAGTTACAGACAACTGTGAGCTGTCATGTGGGTGCTGGGAATTGAACCTGGGTCCTGTGGAAAAGCAGCCATCACTCCAGCCCCTCTCCATAAATATTAAAGCACTCTCCTTTTGACTTCTTGGTCCTGCTGTGTCCTGGGTACCTGCCTGCTTCGTCCTTTGTTCTCATCATGGGCCGAATACTCTCGAGGCCTCCACATAGGCTGTCACTCCTCTCAAACACACTGTACTCATAGCATAAGATCAATATTTATTAGCTAAATTCTAAAATTTGCATTGATTAATAAAGTGTATAAGACTAAAACTGTGAATCAAATATTTTACTTACAAGATTTCAAAAAAAAAGTTAAGGTGAAATTGATGGCATAAAACAAAGATGAAAATCAGTGAGGGTAAACATCCCCATACATCTAAAATGCACATTGCTATAGAATAGTGTTGAAGTTAAAATTGGTTTTTAGTATAAGAACATTAATTTTATAGTTTATTAAATGAATAGTTTACAAGCTAATGTCTAACAGCTTAAAAGACAAATAAAATCAACTAATTAAAATTCAAACAAAGTTCTATTTAAGTACCCATAAAAGTAGTGTTGTCACTGAATAAATAGATACCTTTATGTCACATACACAGTGTCTTAATAAAAATAACTGTAGCAATATATACATGCTTCTACAATATTTGGCATTTTTCAAAGTATGGCTCTATGTGAGACTTGTGATTTATACTCATCTTAATTGTGAGATAATGTTATATGTTTAAATAGAAAGGAAATCTAAGAAGTTAATGATTCATATATCATTAAATGTTTCTCTTTAAAGACATTGTGCCTAGAAGTTAAGTCCTGGGGTCTTGCCACATGTTTTATATTCCATTTTAACAATCTTAACAAGAGTCAAACACCTGCAATCAAATTTACACATTTGTTGACAGTGGATCAATATATTTTTTTTATAGTCATGGGTTTTTCTGTAGTATTCTATGTCAAAATTCAATGAAATGGAATAATTATCAGTCTTAATTTCTGAAGGTGGGCGTGCATGTTTGTAAGTATGTTTATGCATTTGTGTATGTGTGTGATGTGTGTGTATATGTATGTGTGTGTGTGTATGCACATGCATTCAGACACATCTACATCTCACCCATTCATATAGTTAATGTGTTTTGAGGATGAGTGATACCTGGCTCTCATGAAGAGGAGGAATGTTGACACTTAGGGACATAAACATAAATCTACAAGAGTGCATGCCTTACATTAACTCACTTCCTGTTTAAGTTGTTCATATGGTAGAGGAAACATTATTGGACACATTCAGAAATTATTTTTTACTATGGATAATGCCACTTATCTTCTTTGAAATACATGGCATTTTTTGAGAGAGCAGTGGCAACAGGGACAAGCTATACAGAACAGTGACTGTAAAATCCTGTTTCATTATCTACGGCCTGATGCTGTTGTTTTTCACAGAAAATAAAAAGGAAGTAATAGGAAATGTTCTGGAATACACACATTGATAAGTGGGGTATATTTGCATTAAAATAGTGATTGAGCTATATAGTTCAAATAATTGCCTCTGCAATTATGAAAGATACATCAGCTTCATTTATCCTTTGACCTATCTTTTTGCTGAAATGAAAGCTTTGATAAGGCACAATTTTAATTTGAAGTATATTTAAAAAACCAAAACAAAACCTTCATTTGAATAGTTTCTCATTTCAGCTAGCACCTGACAAGTCTCTCGTAATCATCTTACAAGACAAATTAAGAAACGTGGGTGTGAAGGAAGTAGAATTCACATGCATTTGCATGTACTTCGATTAGCATGTCACAAGCTCATGACAAGATGGCAGGCTATGCTGGTATTGCCTGGGTTGGCAGGTCCTTTTCTGTTTAGAATTTATTAATGATTTCAATAATATAAAGATGGGGGTTGCTTGACTGGAAACCGTGATTTTTATCCTTTAAAACAACAACAAAATCCCTGGGAAAAAAGTGTCCAAATCCAGAAGATGAAATATAACAAGGATTGTTCTAACACTGCGATATAAGACAACTACACAACAGGGAGAACATGACTGGCAGATGTTTTCATTCAAACAAAAGAGGGCAGTGTTTACCTGAGCACAAGGCAGTGCAAACCCAAAGCATCATCCCAGACTAGAAGCAGCTTAGACTGTCCACGGTATGGGGCTTACCTGACATATTGCACTGCACCCTAATAAGAGTGTATATTTCTAGTCCCGTTCTTGATACCTGCAGGAGGTCAGTTAGTGTTTGCTGGGACAAACTAGTAGCCTGCATTGGGCTCAGAAATACATAAAATAGAGGGGAAATAATATCAAGAGAATTGCTTCTTTATCAACCCACAAAAGGCAGACCTTAATAAATTGGTCTTCAGATATTTGAAGTACACTGATATATTTGAAGGATTTGATTATTTCACAGAGGGTAGAAATGAGATTCATATGAACGAATGAGAATGATTTAAAATATACCTGGACAATGAGAGAAAACATGACCTCTACTTTAGGAGCCAAAGTCAAGTCATTTAAAACCGTGTCACAGAACCCTCATCCACACTGCTGGAACACTGATAAAGCCTGCTTCATATAGCACAAAGACTTGATAAGTAAGCATATGAGAAAGCATGTAAAAACATGTGAGCCTCCAGAATCAACAGGAAATGGTAATATGACCCATGGATGGTGTGGCAAGAGTCCCAGCGAAGTGGACCAGTTGCCAGAATCCTTCAGGGATTCACTTTGCTGGAGAAACAGAGACGCCGCTCTGGCCAGGGATAGAGGTATTGTGGTATTTCCAATTACAACTAATATTCATTTATTGCCCATTTCATCTTGGTTAGAATCAATAAATAGTAATTAAATGAGAGTTACAAAGAGTCACTAACGTCAATTAGTTAATTTAGGTCAAGAGCATAGCTAATATCCACAGTTTTTAGAGAATGTGTGACTAGGATGGACTTCTACCAAAATACTCATTAACTTAACTCAAGGATGAAAACTAAGGCTAAGTACTCTAGACCAAATTAGGGCTAATTGATTTTGTACAAATAATCATCTGTACATTTGTGCTGCCAATTTTGAAATATGTAGACTTTTCTGATGTTAACCTTCTGTCAAAATATCTCATCTTACAGTCTGTCTTTGGTAGTTGATATCCTTCATGCACCTGTTTGCTATATTTTTATTTTATTTCATTAGTGCTCAAAAATAATTATCGTCTTAGTTAGCAAACTCTCCCAGCTGTTCCTCATTTACTTACCCTCTGACCTTCTTTTCCAGGTGGACCTTGGGGGCCTTGTATCCCTATGGAGCCCTGTGAGGGAAACGGAACACATGTTAACACTCTAGCTCCAGTGCGTCTGCCATGAAAGAATGTAGTGATAACTGATACTCATTTCAGGGATGAGACCAAACAAATTTAAGTCATTTGAGCTCCTCCAAGGTCAGTCTATCATTCTAATAATATATTAATAATGATAAATGGCTCTTCATTGTTTGGCTTATTTTTGGACCTGATTCCAGAAAAGAGTAAATGGAAGTTCTGAATCAAGCAAGAGATTAAAAAAAATCTTCTTATTACTGGAACCCCATATTGCCAAACTATCACACATGGATACTAACAATATTTGCAAGCAGAAAAAGTACCTTTTGCATATTTAAACTTTATAAGCAAAACTACAATTTTGTTGAGAGTAGCTTTGTATCTTTTTAGAAAACACATGATTATGTCACTGGCTTTAGATATGTCTATTTATAACATGCACCTTTTAGTATCTTACATATTATTAAATGATTTCTCTTATTTTCATCAAATGATGAAGGAAAGTCATTATTTTTCAGATTATAAAAAATGTTGAGGAAATCCCAGGTGCTGTTAATTTGAAAGTCAAGTCTCTTGAATTTTACAGTATTCATGATTACCAGATTTCCTGGTGAACCTGAAACTCAGACTATATTGCTATTCTTCATCTTCGGCAATTATTGTTGGTTATTCCTGGTCTTTCCTAATGCTTCTTCCTTCCCCTTTGAACCTTCAAATGGGCTTTATGTGGAATTTTACACTCATCTTCAGAGTTCGCCCTTTCTTCATGACCTCCTCTACCTGTGGGCTTCACATCTTTTACAGTGATGATTCCTAGACCCAAAGCCTTAGTTTATCTATATGCAGATCTAACAGCCAAATGCCTGTGTGACACACCCACTTGGATATCCCACAGACATCTGGAATTTGGCATATCGAACACTGGATGTACAACCCTTCCTAACTCCTCTTTGGCATTCCCCACATGAGGACCTAAACAGTCTTGTTGCTCAATCTAGAAATCAAGCTCACACCCCACCCTCTCCTCTCTCACACTCATTCCTCACATATAATTACCAAGCCTGCTCAGTGTTTTGTATTTGAATCCATTTCTCTCCATTCCCATTGCTGTCAGATGATCTGCCTGTCTGCAAACCCTCCTGATGATCCTGTCACCACCAAGCTGGACCTCAGAAAACCCAGCTTCGCCTCCCTATGTCTCTCCTGACTTGCCTGCTGCTTATGATGGTTTAAAGTTTCTTTTTTTCAAACCACACTGCAATTCATTTAAATGGCGTTCATGTAATGATTTGTCCCTTTGGCCAGGCTCTGAGCTATGATAGGTGGAGTCTATCTTACTCAACATGGTATGGGAGCATTACTGGCTATAGAAAAGCAAATATCATTGGAGAATCAAAACCCAATAGTAAAAAAAATGGATGAAGACACAGGTTTTTAAATATTTATGATTAACTTCTTATATATTTAAGTACACAAAATGATTTGAGATAAATAAGCAATTTAACTAAACCTAAAAGCGCTCTATCTAGAAGAACAGAGGCTTGGAATTCTTTGTTGCTGTTTCCGAATTGGACTCAGAGCCCCTTGCATGCCAAGCATACGCTCTTCCACTGAGCTGCACTGCCGGAGTTCATTTTTATAACATGATCTTTTTTTCTTTAAAAGTCATGACTACCTTTAAGTAAACACTGGGCATTTTTGTGATGACCCATAACTACTTATTATGAAGGTAATCATTTCTATTTTCTATAGAAACTATTTTTTTTTTAAGAAAAAGGATATAAGACAGGCAAGCACAGTTATAGCTTGGCAATTAGGGGCTCCACTTGGTTTGGGCTGTGTGCAGACCCCTCTTGTAATAACTCACCTAGAAGCCTGAGGCCCTTACCCACAGGCACTACCTACACCCAACCCTCTCCCCCACAATGGAAGATCTCCACCTGAACTGAGCTACAGGCACACCCTACACCCCGCTCTAAACAATAAAGTATATCTTCTTCCCCTTAATAATAGACACAGAGAGCTGCATAGATAAAGGAAATGTGGTACCCCATATTCATTCATATTCATTCCATAGTCATTCATATTCTAGTTATGCCTGAGTACACGGTGGGAGAGGATACAGTCTCAAGTGCACTGTGGTGCATGAGCCGTAAAGCAAAGGGCATCCTCTGAGTGCACTTATAGTGAGCATCCTCTGTTTACCATTTATGTCTGTAAGTAACTGGTGATGCATACGTTTACAGAATCTCAGCCTGCCAATCAAAATAGAGAACCGCCTGTGCTATTTCTATTGTAAATCCCTACCCAACAAATCATCAGGGGCATTAAGTACCTTTACTCATGTGGCCTGCTGCCATGCTTGACAGCACATTTCTTTATGATCCATATTATAACTTCGCTTTGAATAATGTCCCCTTGCTACCCTATAATAGTGTGAGCCTTTTCATATCTGAAAACACCTGGCCCAAATTCCAACCACAGTGGTGACATATGCCTACATACATGGCTTTACCATCTGGACATTTATTTTTAATAAAAATTTGATCAATGTATCTTAAATTTTTATTCATATAGCTGTAATTTGATTAAAAATAACAAAATTCAGTATAAATTATTGTAACAGATTTTTGAACATTAGTATAAAATTTCTGTTTGTTGCGAATTCACAAATCCTTGGCATCTTCACCACAGTTGATGCATAAAAGCTATACATTTATCACTGTCATTATTTTATCTGATTTGGGGGGAAAATAATTGTACAAAAGTATGGCGAGCCTACATCTTACTAACTTAGGCAGGAATAAAACTTGGAGACTAAGAAACTGATCAATTTTATTTGTAATTATAAAACCACTTACAAAATGATATATAAGCAAGGAAAGTTGGCTCATTAGGCTAACTCCAAGATGAAAACAAATTCCTAATGTTTGTGAATAAACCAAATGTTGAAATTAAAATATACCAATATTAATTACAGCATAATTACAGAGATGCACCATTTTATACAAGACTGACACAATCTTGGCTCCAGATTAAACTCTTCCCTTTAGCCCTCAGGAGAACTACTATATTTCATGAATAGTCAAACTAACACATACACAACATTTTTGAGACTCATCCAAATACTGACAACTCCATCAATGTTTTTTAAAAAAACATGAGTTTCTAAAACACACACACACACACACACACACACACACACACACACACACACACACATCAACTTTCATCAAAGGAGTATGCTTAATTCTGGGAAATATAATTAAAATTCTGTTCCCTTTACAAGTCCTAAAAATTATATTTCGAAGTCTGTACAATGTAAAATAGTACATTTTGTTTGGAAAGAGTTCAGCATATTAAGAAATACGAGACTCTTGTGCCTCACGGGCCACAAACTTTGTTCCCACTTCACTTCTGCTAAGTGAAGGAGCCAAACAACAGACTGATGAAAGCTTCGAAAATTCTACGTCATCTTTAACAAATAACTTTCTATTAAAACCATCCATGGCATCTTACATTTAATCTTAGCCATGCTGCCCCAAAGTTCAGAAATTTTGCTCCTGGTGTGCTGGCTGGCTATCAACCTCAGGACTCAGGTTCCTATGTGTAAATGCCCTGCCATTGAGCCAGCTCCAGAACACTTTATACTGCAGTACTGAATGTTAGCTGACATTTACAAAGAAAACTAATTTTAATATTGACAGAAGTAAGACAGATCCATTAATTACACACACACACATAATGTTTTTCCAAACTGAGAAGTTATAATTTGGGGATATTTTATTATTTACAGTTATGCAAGCCTATATTCTTTCTACTTAGTAAGGTCAAATAATAAATTTATTCATCACTTACTATGAAAATTAGAGATCTGCTTAAGCAGTGGGTTGCCTGAATTAAATGTGAGAACTCGGCACTTGATTTGGAACCACTCTGTTATTCTGTCTTACTTGGGTTTGTAAATGACATTCTGTATTTACTGTACTTAACCTTCCTTTGATTATGAGTTCTGGAGGATAGAATCTATTATATATTCTATTTCCACCTCCCTTACAGAATCTACTCAATAAATGCACAGTAGGCCAAATCACAAAGAAGAAAACATTGATATAAAGCAATGCTTGGTGACGATATTGGGAATACAACTCACTATACATATTATTATTATTATTTTCATGACTTAGATTTCAATATTGTATTAGAAAACTAACTTTTCCCCTTCCATCCCCCCTTTGATATTCCTAAATATCATCCTTTTACTTTTAAGTCTTTCTTTGTTCCTGAATTCTACAAGTGAAAGAAGTCATGTGATACTTTAATTTAGGTTATCCTCCAAAATTTGATGATAAGACCCTATTGCTGAAGACTCTATATGCTTGAGTCTTAGAACATGGAGGAATCAATCTGGTCCTGACCTGGAAGCTTCATGCCCACTGGCTAGCTTTCACAATGCTGGAAGTATTATGTGCCCTACTACAGGAGAAATAATCATCAACCGTACCCAGAAATAAACTCTGTGAGCTACAATAATGGCCAGCTAGGCAAGATAGGCCCTCTGGTGTAAAAGTGGCATGGATATTATTTTGGGAATAACTAACCTCTTCTATTTTTACCTGAATTTAAGCCCTGCCCCATAAAAGGGACTCTGAAAATGAGTCACAGTATTGAACCAACTCCTAAAGATGTCTCATTATGCACATAGATGAATGCATCTCTGAACTCTCATCAGAGAAGCTTCTTTTTTGTAATTACAGTGATTAACACAGAGACTCAAAATGGGTCAATGCAGAAAATGACAAATGTGAGATGCTCCACCCTGAATGGGACTTCGGTATCACACCCTCTCCTGCCCCTCCCAAGGCTCAACGTTCATCACAACACAGGAGCTGGAAAGATTTTAAGAGCCCGAGGAGGGGGATGATTGCATTGAAATGGGATCTGGGAGACAACAGGACACTTGCACATGACTCAGCAGTTGTTACTGCATG